CAGATATCGTCAGATATATGATCATACACAGAAAAGGTTTGCATTATATTGGAATGATATAAAGTCATATAAAGCCATGTATAACGTCGATGGTAGATCGGGGAGCGGAACGAACCATCTGTCGGGCTTCGATGGTTCTTGTCGTACAAAGAAATCCAGGCAGCAAGATGCAAGATGTTTATGGGCACGTGCATCATTCATGTGGTATTCCTTCGAGCGTAGAGGATCTGTCATAAAGTTACGGAGTGAGGCATGACAGATCTCAACATTTCTCCATCAGATGGATTTAAGACAACAGGTGGAAATGCTTGAAGCATCGCAGCCAAGCTTTCTTGAATCCGCGTAGAAGAGATATTGGAGTTCTGCAAGTGGAAACGAATCTGTGAGATGGATCGGATAGACGCCAACATCCGGTAGTGGCGACTGGACCCTCCGAAGTTGCGATAATCTGTCCATAAAGCGGATCGATGCAGCGTCGACAGTTGACTTCTCACGAAGGAAGAGATTTAGTCGTTACTTCGGATGATGACGAGTGGCGGATATAGGTTGATGGCCATGGCAACATACACAGCCCGTCTGATTTAGAGGTCAACTTCTCAAATTCATCATCCGATGGCTATAGGGCGGGCGGCTAGCAGAAAATAGCAGGAAGTATGTCATCCAGTGATGCTCGCAGAAAGCAATGGATATGCTATATGGTGTCTTCATCGCGAGTGATGGGAAGAACTTCAGAGGCATCGGAGTGCATGGCTGCGCGGATGTGCGCCTCAGGACGGCCTGTGAATATCGAGTGGATATTGGGCAGGTCCGGGTCTGCACTCGCGATAGCGTAACCAGTCCTACCACCTCTTCAGCAGAAAAGAATTCGTCAAGAGCATGAATGACAATAGTGTAAGGTCTCTTGAGTGACGGAATTTCATTGCAATGTTTGCATGCAGTAGCTTGATGACAAGCTCCTGCATCTGATCGCTGCGAGAATTTCCAAACGATAGGAGTATCTTGTCTTTCTCGACCGCTTCCACGATATTGCTTCGAGTACGCGGGAAAGCTAGTGCGAGCTGCGAAGGTAGGAATAATGGCGGCAATTTCTTGTGCGTGAAGTTTGTACGAGAAAGTGGCAGCAAGTACAGCTATGGAGAATGCGATCTAACGCGACGGACGTTTTTCCGGCAAGGCCATCGAACCAGATGTTCGTCCGATCACGTTTGTCAAAGATTTGTCTGAGACTCTCCCTCAGTGCAATACGCGCGTTATCCGTGCATCTTGAGTACGGCTGGCGCTTCTCGGGATCGAAAGTGCGACTGTATATGGTCTTAGAACATCACATAGATTATGCCATGCATGTTCAGAAGATGAAGGATTTTCTTAAAAACGAAATTAGTACGAGACGAGACGAGGGAGGTTATTTGTGCTCACGACCGAAATCCATCGCGCCGGGGGAGTTGGAAGCTTGACGAGCCTGACACCCGACAGGAAGGACGGTACAACACCGGTACGTTAGTACTGCTTCTCATTGCAATTTGCACCGCGTTGGGATAGGTTGGGATCGAAAAATAAGAATGCACGAGCGTCAGGCGTGCAGCCGTGCTGAGTGTCAATGTGCACTCGGTAGCCCTTGGTGCATTTTGTCGGACATCTCGGAATCGAGGCGCGACCAACAATGACCTGAATGCTGAGAGAAAAGACCAGCACGACGTTAGAAAGAAAAGGAGGAGTCCGGTGGACTTTGAACGTTTCCACAAGCAAGCGTGCGTACACGATATTATTAATAAGTTTCGTGACCAAAATGCGAAATGTTTATAACACATTCCCACGCGTACATGATGACCTGCCTGTAGCATAGCGGCAAGGAGCTTGAATGCAACTCGGGGAATCGAGATCTGTAGTCATTAGCTTTAAAGTGCATGTGGAGCATGTTAGTACAAGCAGCGGAATCTTCTTGCACCAATCCTATGCGACGCGCTCCTTTGGCACCACGTCAAGCTGTATTCAATTGAAGTCCCCTATAAGGGGGAGCGAGACGCCAACATGAAGAGATGCAAGTGAAAAAAATAGGTCTGTTTGTATATCCGAGGACTACTTGTCCGTGTGACCTTTGAGAGTCAGTCATCGAGATCTATCAACTCCTCATCACATTCGTCTCTATCTCCAGTACTGATGTTGTTAACTTCTTCCTCACCACAATCATCATCGTCCAGTTCATGTTCCAGCATGAACGCAGGAACAGTCACCCCAGAACGAATTCTAGGGCCTGGTCGCGGACCAAGATTAATTTCCTTCCGGGACTCACGAACAGCTGCGAGAGCTGCAATCTATGAAACCAGCACCAAGAGTCTGTTAGAGCAAAGCAAACATTTATAACCAACGCACCTTATCTTGCACCGCAGACTGTACCGCCCGCTTCTGCCCTGTTTTCGCTGCAGGATCGAATCCAAGCTTCTTGATGATATCTGCAGAATACGCCAGCGTCGTTTGGGGTGCGTCAGATTCTGAGATATCATCTGAATCTCTCGCTTTTTCCTTCAACTTTGCGGACTTCTTATCCTTAGCACCATCAGAGCTGAGCTTCGCCGTCATCGTGCCTATCTCCCTGGCCTTGGTAACAGCACGCATGCCTTCCTTATCCCTCTCGAGTAGGCGCTTCAGCTCGCGATCGGCATCCTGGATCAGCTTTCGCTTCGCCCGCGCCTGGCCTTCGCGCCCCATGTTCTCAGCGACAAACATCGACGAGATATCCCGGTTGGACCCGCTCACGACGTGCCCCGAGACGACGTACGTGGCGTTGCCTCCACGAGAGCCAGACGCTTCAGAAGGCTGTAATCCCCACTGGCGTTGTGGATCATGATCAGCTTTGCGCTTCTTTGATGACGAAGTTGTCATTCCAGAGGTCCTGAGGAACGGGGCTGTGAGTCAGAGCGAAGGCATAGAATCACCACATTACCCACCCTGCAGAAAACTCAGCTCGCCCGGCTCTTTGCCGTTGCACAGCGTTCGTCAAGTGCCAGTCGCATACGTCGCTCACTCGCTTGTCCGTCCAGCTTCCGCATGGTTTTGCCATCGCGTTTGAGCACCTTGCACATGCCCAAATCTTGTGCGCGTCCGATGATGGCGATGGATTCGGCGGACTCGGGTGTGACAGCGAGTATGTTGTCGGTTGGGTGCGGTTTCTCGTTTTTGTTGTTCCGCTGAGCGAGTTGTTCACTATGATGGGACATACTACTCGTGCAAGCTCACCTGGAAGGGCTTGAGGACCTTGGGATTAAGAAGAGTGATGACGTCCCCTTCTTTAAGCTTTGACATTGCTTCGAAAGCGCCTTTGCTGCCACCATTGTAGAGCTTCTTGACTTTACCATCGTCGCTCGTGACGCGGTCAAAACTATCAGCTTCGAACAGCAAGAGGGTCAGAAATGCGTCGCCTCGGATGGACGCTACGCCCGACGACGACGGTCGTGAATGTGCCCCAAAGTCAATTAATTTCATGTTAACAAATTTTTTGCCGTGAGATTTAGAGGGCTTTTGTTTCTGCGGGTCCTGGGTACGAGAATCGTTGCCAGCTTTACGGTCGTTGGCGTTACTGGAGGCTCCCTTATCATCGGTTGCATGTCCATCGTCGCCAGGAGCGATGTCTACAGGAGCACGCGTAGTCCTTACAGGGCCCCGCTCTGCAACAACGGCAATTGTGATCCAGTCACCCTCGACAGGTACATCGTAGCCTGACTGGTTGGGTAACAGTCGTATGCAAGAGTAAAGTGTAGACGGTGAGAGGTAATATCGACCTCGGAGATATTCCTGCAAATCATCGTGTGGTAATGAACGAGACCTGCATACAATCCTCAAGTTCAATGATCTAATGGATTTCAATTGCGATGACAAGACGTACGAAAGTCGGATGCCAGAATTTGGCTCAAGTCGCTGAAAATGGGGGTCGTCAAGTGGCGACTTGTGATCCACGGGACCGACTTCAAGCTGCTCGACGATGGCCAGTCGGTCATCTCTGTTCGGCACGATGTCCGAAGCAGATTGGGAGGTACTAGGTGGCACTTCGATCATTTTGGGATTTGAAGCAATGGAGGACTCAGGTTTGGGCCGAGCCAGTAAGCTGTGGGACCTCTGAGCCGAATTTGCTTTTTCCTGCTTTACTGTGCCGCCTGATAATTTAGAAAGCTTGCTGAGGAGATTTGATGGAGCAGGTTTCTGATATTGCACTGTAGCAATCGGACCTTTACCAGAAGGCCGAGGATTCACGCTCCGAGCTCCAGACGCTGAGAGGGACCCCGAGGTGGCACTCGTCCCGCCAAGTAATGAGCCCTGCGTATAGCCTGCATGATCGACCCTCCTCTTCTTCTCTGCCATCAGCGTTCATTTGACAAAACCTCTATAGTACACGCGCTTACTCACTAGGAGACGGAGTAGCGGGAGCGAGCAAAGTTTCAGATGGGTGTGTCCTCTTGGGAGATCCGATTACATCGTTGGCGGAGTCGGGAAGGGATGTAAGCTGAGCTTGCAAGCGCCTGATCTCTTTGCGAATTTCTAGTTGTTTCTGTAGTTCCTCTTCTGTTCTGTTCGTAGATGATTCCATTCCGTGTCGCCTTGATTGACGCGCGGTGGATGTTCACATGCGCATGTACAGCCGAGCAACACGCTGTGAGCTGCTGTATTTGAGCTGCTGGCAAGGTTGTGGTTTGTGGACGTGTTATTTGGTGATGCTGTACGTAAATGCTGACAGGACCTTTGTGTTTTTCCACACCAAAATTCCACACGTCCCACTTTAGAAACTCTGCCAAAGCGCTATATCATGATCATGTGGTGTAGTAGGACTCCGGGCACGAGTGGGGTGAAGTAAATGTGCTAGAATACAGCGCAAGTATGCCGCCAGACATGGCTATGGTACATTCCAGGAACAATGGAAGTCCGCAGGCGACTCTGGGAGGCCTGTGATGATATCTATATTTATTCTTATAATGACTACATTGCCTGCACTGGCAAGGCTTTCTAATATTCGTAGATCAAGAGATCGAAGCTGTGCCACATTACTACATATATATTCCGTGTTGGCAGTATTTCTCTTCTTTCCATATCTTTCCACCTCTTCCTCCACTCACACCTACTTTCTACTAGTCATGAACGACGACATCCCCCCTACACTTGATTGTCGAAGAGCCATTCTGGAACTCACTGAACGTCTTTGCTCTCAAAAACATGTTCGAGATGGTATAAATGACCTCCTCAAGTTCAGCCACTCGGAAGATTCAGAATTTCAGCGCTACGGTCGAAAGGTCTTGTTTTTGCTGCTAATCCCGTTTTACATTCAACTGATGGTCTTTCCGTGAAGATTATCGCCCTGACTGAGGTTAATATAATTTTAATTGTCACAAGCTCCGTCAATAATGCCCTCGGTAATTAAGGTCGCACGCAGCACTCTTACACGTGTGGGAGTGAAATTATACCTGTTCGTTGTTTGTCCACAGACCTTGCTGCCATTGAAGTCGGCGTACTTCAAAATGCTGATTTTAATCAGACGCCGCAAACACGCCTTTCCTTTGGAACTGGACGGTAAACATTTATAGGTAATTTGTTGGATCTTCTTTTCACAATACATACAGACAGAATAAATCGGCTCTTACTTCCTCTATACACTCATCTCGTCACATATTACGGGGGAGTCGACACCCGTGCTCAACTGGGCATCAAGGAATTACTTGTCGCTCCGGATACACCGGCCGCAGAAAAAAGGACCTGCCTGCCTGCTGCTATCTCATCAGTGCCAAAACCAGATGCGGCAGGGGTTATGCCACGTATGTGAACCTGCTGTCATACTCAGGAGCCCTAGATTGACAAACGATTCTCAGCGCCGGATACTTTCGCGAAAAAAAGAGCGAGAGTCAACCCGCTTGGGGGATTTATAAAGCAGCAATCTACGAAGGAGTCACACGCACGAAAACATCTAGTGCCTAAGCAATACCCAATAGGTGATCTAGGTGACAATGGAGCCAAACCCTTAGTGTCTAAGGAATACCCAGCGGCTGACATTGAACCGGGCGACGACGGGGGATCTTCTCGCCCTCGAAGGGTGTTCACTCGAACAAATGCCAAGTATTTTGGCATTTTTTGCACTGGGAAGCAACCAGTTGCTTCTGCCAGGACTGTTTGCATTGACTAATATATATCGCATTGTATTTCATCAAAGTTCACGACTGTCTCTCCGATACTTGTCATCTCATGAATACGGAATCCATCTGCCTGTATTACACTTAACATCATTCACACATTTTGTTACTGGCTATCCTTCAAGGTTTTATATTTGTGGTAATACATCCATTGCTGTATCTTCCTTTTATGTAGTTGACGAAAAATTCACCTCCCTCGGCTGCTGTACTTCTGGTCTTTCAAGTCTGGAGGCCTTTGCCTTTGCCTATCCCTGCCCGCAGATTCGCAATATCACCCCTCCACCCCTCAACTTCTCTGTCGTTTGTACCTCTCGGCTGGAGGCGCCTTGGGATAACATCTCTTCGTCGATGATATTAATCACCTCTCCAATTAGTCTGTCCAGCTTCTCTAAGGCACGTTCAAATAAATAAGGGTTTGCTATAATGAAGCCAGATTCTGGATCAGAACCTGTATCTGGAACGGACCAAGCTGGTGCAGCTGGAAAGGGTTTGGATGTGCGAAGAGGTAAGTAACGGTTTAGGTACCTGTGGTATCTGACTTCAGATGTTACCTGCACGGTACATCAAACTCGTGAGGTTGCAATTCCTGACGTCTTTGCCAGAGATACTACCATCGAATTAGCAAAGGCCGTGTTCACATACATGCAAATAATGTGTGAAGTGTGAAGCTGCCTCACCCCAGCCAGACTGCGAAACAACCCTGTTGTCAGTCATGGCTGTGGCAATTACTTGGAGAACTTTTTCTTGAATTGGGCCAGGCGTGATAACTTACCTCCTTTTGACATACAGCTTGTACATGTAATCCATGCAATCCATACTATGCATCCCTTGAGATGGCAATGATACACAATCAGCATGTACATCACCAAGGGACACGCCAAATACATGCTCATGATTACTCTGAAGATCCACATCAAGAACGCGCTTGAGCAGTTTCGGACAACGACCTTCGCGGTCTGCATTCAATACCCAAGTCTTCAGCAATGATCATCGCAGCCTTCTCTCCAACGAGGAGCGCCGTCGAATAAGTGTTCTAAAAGATGGTTAGACCACACATCAACAATTTATCCTGAACTACTCACCGTACCAACAATCATCGGCACGATGGACAAGTCTGCCACCTTGAGGTTTGTCACACCATACACGTTTAGCCGAGCGTCAACGACTCCTTGATCTGCCCTCGACTTCATGGCACAAGTCCCGAGCTGCACGCACAGGGATAAGCGCCTCATGTAGAAGTATGACAGTTCAAGCTACACATACCGAGTGCCATCCCGTTTGCACTGGGATTCGATCAAGCATGTTACCGTAAGGGAAATAAATTCAGGACATACTGTTGTCACGGTGAAATCGATCGATCGCTTCATCATCTTCTGCAGTGTAGATGATGTCAGGCGCATTCAGGTCCGCTGGACCGGTCGCTTCTCTGCAGACTGCAGCACTTCCCTCTGGGAAAGGAGGGTGCAAGGCGGCAACTTCGCCCCGGTAAGAAGGCATGCGTCGACAGATCTCGCGCAGTTTTTTGTATCCAAAGTTGAGAGGTACGATATCCGATGGACTGGGCGTATTATCGTGATCAGACGAGTATGGCTAGAATGAAAGATGTGCCCACTCACTCATCTAGGTAGCCTGTAGTAAAGTTGATATCTTCCTTGCCGTTCTCTCCTGATTTGATATGCACACTGCCAACAGACACGGGGTAAAGCTATAGAGCTTATGTTCAGAACAAAGATCACAGGGTGTATTGGAAACAGTACCGTAGTGATTTCCGCAGTCATGTAATTGCGAGGAGGAAGGTCACTTGACCCGAGATAACTGGCTATCCTGAACATTCGCACGTCATGAAAGCAAAGGATTGTACGCACCCTGCAAAGACGGACAATATTGCGACAGCCCTTTCCGGGCGGTCCAGGAAGAACTCCTTCCATCGCGGTTCAAAAGCTGAACCCATTTCTTTCAACTCTTCGTCGTCAGGACGCCACTTGATTTTTGCATCGTTGCCGCTGATATGCTAATGAGTGTGTTATAAAATGCGAATCATTGTGCCAACTTTTGAGCAATGAGAGACTTTCTATTACTTTTCCATCGTGCAAGGTGTTCTGCGCGTGAGTACTCAAAGGGTGCTGAGAACATAACGAGAACATACTTGCTTACCCTGTACAACATTCTCCTCCCCACGCCAGAGGGGGTCCATAGTAGTAGCTCCATCAGCAGCAAAGTATGGACCAAAGACGATGTTGTGATCTCTTAACCCTAAGTTAACATTATGAGATAAATGGTTGAACACGGACCGCGATAGTTTTTCTCCGACGCCGGGTAAGTCCACCAGTTGCTGGATATCGCACCGCTTGAGAATCGCCTCGGCACCGATGCCAGACCTCTCGAGAATGGCCGGCGAACCGAACGCCCCAGCAGAGACAACAACAAGCTTTGATGCCCTTACGATGCTTGGTGACTGACCCGCGTCTGGGCAAGACACCGGGTCGTTGGTGAACTCGACCCCTACAGCATGCTTGTCCCTTTCAGTCGGAAAAGAGGTCAGCAGTTGAGCACGATTGCGATCCAAGGTGTAGCACTCACTCGAAAATCACGCGCTTCACGCGCTTTCCGACCCATATTTGTAAATTGGGGTTGTGGGCTTGGTTGTAAACATAGTGATGTGCAGCATCGGAACGCGTTCCGGTTGTCCCGTCAATGTACCTTCTCATATGAGCTTAAGTCACCAGACTATGGGCACATGCTCACTTGAACCATGGCTGAGACGAATTTCATCAGTAGTAGCAAACAGAGGAAGAACATAATGAAGTGGCGCACACTGTAAGTATTGCATGTTTCTAAATCATTGGAGTCATCCGAAAATGGCCTCTTGTGATACTTCGTGCCAACACGGATAAAGTCTTCGCTGATATCCATTTTACACCCACCAGAGGACACCTTTATGGGTCCGTTATACCCGTGGGTTGGACGATCGGCCTGCACCTCGTATGTCTCCACCTATGCAATAACAACAGTTCAGCCTGACAAATATACAGACAGCACGTTTGAGGACCTTTTTCATGAGGGGAATCAAGTTCTTAGATTCCCAGCCATCGACTCCCCAATCATCAAAATCTGAGGCAGGCGAACGAGTGTAATTCATAACTGTCTAAGCATCAGAGTCCTGTTCATTGTTACAACAACACTACGAACAATTCACACTTGAACCTCCACCAACACAATGGGCGCAGTGAACGATTGGCGCACGGCCATTGAGATGTGGTGAGGGATTTCCAATGTTGATTGTCATCGTAGTACTCGTCGGCGCCTGATGGGTGATATATTGGTAGGGTTGAACATGCGCAGCTTTATTGAGGGTGTGTTGACCTCCTTCGAGAATCAAGATCCTGAGCGAGGGGTCACATGCTGCCAGGCGACCCGCGACAACGCAAGCTGTACTCCCACCTGCACACAACGGGCCACGCTAAAAGAGCAGGTTGCCACGCGCAAGATGTCAATACTCACCTCCAGCAAAAATAATATCAAACTCTGATAAGAACGGATAAGACATTGAGGGGATTACTGTCAGAAAGCCAGTAACTCACAGTACTTGGCGTGCTCGCGTCCAATTTATATCTACAGCCTGCGATAATACTACCGCAGTCTTTACTCCATCCGGGACACAGCAAGTCACGAACCACGATCAGCTGGGCAGCATATGAGCTTATCTGAGTTTCCGCGCCGCACAGAAGAAGCTAGTATTTGCAGAAATTAGAACGCTACATTTTGAACGCTGTTGTTGAAATTGAAGTGTACTAGTACCATCTGAGTCAGGTTACTGCATGTTGTAGGTCACGAGAGCCCGGCCGGGCCGCAACCTAGATCTTAATTAGATTGTACTAATGTAGTAATTTGAAAGTTGATTCATGTACACCGGCTTCAGCCGCCTGAGGCCTCACTGTCATCGTTCTGTACTCTGTGCATGGCATCATCTCTCACGTTCTTAGCATATTCTGCGGTCGAACTTAGGTGTCGGTCACAGCTAGTACTATGTTACTGCGACGTGGAAATATCTTGTGAAAACCCGACCTCTCCGTACTATTCGTGTCGAAGGATAGACTCACCGTGACAATTACACTATTAGCAGACACGTCTGAATCGTGTCGATCTGTTAGGCATTGATGACCCAAGCTTGATCATCATCCTCTCAATTGGTATATCATCGCGCGACTACCGCCCCTGTGACGACTACATCATTCAAGTTTTGCTCTGCGAATGGCGAAAACTGTGCCTATCTTATAATTTGGACGATCATGCAATTGATACTTTTCTTGTGACAGCGACTAACAGCTAACAGGTAAGACACCATCATAGGTCGTGCACATCATGCAATCTACCTGTTAACCCTGCGTGCACTTGCAAAAAACCTCCATCTGGTATCATTGTCTCCATATCCTGTAATCGAGCGCCGATTACGGGGGCTTGTACAATTGTGCCTTGCAAACATCGAAACCGTAAGAGGCATTGTATTCGATAAGTTGATGAGAATCCAGCAATTTGATACCATGTGGTCCTGATTCCATGCTGAAAAGTCGAGATTTAGAACAGGCCCGGGATCAAAGGTACAATACTGCCAGCAGGAGTATGAGGGAACCAACGAATGAAGGCAATATAGTTGGTCGTTTCTGCACGGCGCCTGTATGCTTTCGAGTTGACGATCTTCTGTGAGCATTTCTTCTCCATACCTTTGGGGCGGTGACAATCGCATTGGCAGTTGACTCGGAAACACGAGTGCACTTGGAGCATCGTCCTCATTGTCCAGCTCTGGCAGCAGACACATACGGTGGTGAGACAGGTATGCCAGAGACGACAGGCCATAACATCAATAACCACTGAAGGCCTCCAATTTTAACTGGACCCTCGCCCGGTTGTTCGAGTTGGCGAGCACCCATAATTCAGGAGTTGGTGTTGTAGCTGCTACCCGCGCAAAGTAACCGGGGGCTTACGAGTCTACTAGTGCTGGGTACGCAAGACGCGTGCGGCAGGGAAAGGCCGACAGTGTACTGATCCTTGCCAGAAGGTCATTCCTTATATTGTCCTCACAATTTTGAGACACGTCCTGATTGCGTATCAATGATTGACACTTAAAGTACATACTGATGATCTTTCCCGCGAAGACGCCTATCACAGACGTGATCCAGGACTTTTCCGCGACGATTCATTGTATGGTCTACATCCAATACCCAGCTCATCAGCAATGATCATCGCAGCCTTCTCTCCAATGAGAAGTGCTGTAGAATATGTGTTCTAGAGAGACGGTTAGACGGCACATCAAATGATCCCCGACCAGCACTCACTGTGCCAATATTTTTCGGCGCAATAGACATGTCCGCAACCTTGAGGTTTGTCACGCCGTAGACGTTTAGCCGAGTATCAACAACCCCTTGATCTGCCCTCGGCTTCATGGCGCAAGTTCCGAGCTACACACGCAAGGTTCAGGTACCTCATGTGAAAGCATGAAAGTTTCAGCTGTACATACCGAATGCCATGTCGTTGACACTGAGTATCGATTCAGTATTTTAACATAATGATAGGGATGCGACATACCACAGTCACGATTGTATCGATCGATCGCCTCGTCATCTTCTGCTGTGTAGACTAAGTCAGGCGCATTCAAGTCCACCGGACCGGTCGTTTCTCTGCAGACTGCTGCACTTCCCTCTGGGAAACAAGGATGGCCGGCGGGGACTTCACCTCTGTATGAAGGCATGCGTCGAAAAATTTCGCGCATCTTTTTGTACCCAAAGTTAAGAGGTACAATATCGGATGGACTGTGTGGATTACAGTAGTATTCAGCGAGATGAAATTGCCAACTCACTCATCCAGGAAGCCTGTATTGAAGTCAATTCCTTCCTGGCCGTTATCGTCCAATTTGATATGAACACTGCCGGCGGACGCGGGGTACAACTATCAGAAAATTCAGAACAAAGATTACGAGATAGTAGATGGGGGTAGTACTGTGAAATAGAAAGCAGCCAAGTAATTGCGAGGAGGAAGGCCCATCCGGAGTGCCCCAGGGTGTCTGGTTATTGGTTATTATGAGCATTCGTAAGTCGTCAAAGCAAAATATTGTGCACACACCCTTCAGAAAGAGCAAATATTGCAACAGCCTTGTCTGGGCGGTCCTGGAAGAACTCCTTCCATCGTGGTTGAAAGGCTGAACCCATGGCTTTCAGCTCGTCGTCGTCAGGACGCCATTTGATTTTTGCATCGCTTCCACTGAAATGCCAATCAATACGTCACCAGCATTGAAGGTTTTATACCAACTTTTGGGCAATAAGTGACTTGCCATTAATTTTCCATTGCGCCAGGTGTTCTATAATATTTCCCGGGCGGTTAAAGGGACTCAGAATATGACGAGAGCATGCTTACCCTGGACAACATTCTCCTCCCCACGCCAGAGGGGGTCCATAGTAATAGCTCCGTCAGCAGCAAAGTATGGAACAGAAACGAAGTTGTGATCTCTTAACCCTAAGTTAAGATTATGACATAAATGGTTGAACACGGACCGCAATAATTTTCTCCGACGCCAGGCAAGTTCACCAATTGCTGGATATCGCACCGCCTGAGAATCGCTTCGGCACCGATGCCAGACCTCTCGAGAATGGCCGGCGAGCCGAACGCCCCAGCAGAGACAACAACAAGCTTTGATGCTCTTACGATGCTTGATGACTGGCCTGCGTCTGGGCAAGACACTGGATCGCTGGTGAACTCGACACCCACGGCGCGCTTATCTCTTTCATTCGAAAAAGACATCAACAGTTGGGCACGGCTGCAATCCAACTTGTTGTACAACACTCACTGGAAGATCACGCGCTTCACGCGCTTGCCGACCCATATCTGCAAATTTGCATTGTGAGCTTGGTTGTAGACATAGTGGTGGGCTGCATCAGAACGCCTTCCGGTTGTCCCGTCAATATACCTTCTTATCTATGAGGTCAATTCACAAATAGATGACGAGCACAAGCTCACTTCGCCCATGACTGAAATGGATCTCGTTAGCGGACTCCACACACAGAGAAAGAAAATCAGGTGGCGCACGCTGTATGTGTTACATGTTTCTAAATCATCAGTGTCTTCGACATATTTCCTCTTGTGATACGTCGTGCCAACACGGATAAACTCTTCGCTGGCATGTAGTTTGCATCCACCATAGGACACTTTGATAGGTCCACCGTACCCGTGGGTTGGGCGATCGGGCAGCACCTCATATGACTCCAGCTAAGCAATGAATAGTTCAGCTTGAGAAATTAAATATGATTCAATCGAGAACCTTCTTCATGAGGGGAATCAAGTTCTTAGATTCCCACCCATCGACTCCCCAGTCATCAAAATCTGACGCAGGCGCACGAGTGTAAACCATAGCTGACCGAGTCAACATATCCGAGTCAGAGCCATGTTATCTAGTCAAGAACGCTACGAACTATTCACACTTGACCCTCCACCAATGCAATGGGCGGACCGAACGATCGGAGCACGACCGTTGAGACGTGGACTTGGATTTCCAACGTTGAATGTCATGGTGGTACTTGTAGGCGCATGGTGGCTTGCAAATCGGTAAGGCTGCACATGCGCAGCTTGATTAAGCGTGTGTTGGCCCCCTTCGAGAATTAAGATACTAAGCGAGGGGTCCCATGCAGCCAGGCGGCCTGCGACAACACAAGCTGTGGTACCGCCTGAACCGTGATACAGCGTTATGTCAAGGAAATCGCCACAATGCAATACATATTACTCACCTCCAGTAAAAATAATATCGAATTCTGATATGACTGGATGAGACATCGAAGGGTGTTTCAAGTGGGACCAATCGCCAGTGCGTCCAAATTTATATCCCTCGCTGGAGCGAATAACAAAGGAGTTCATTCTCGGTTCCTTTGAACAACTTCAAACCCTGAGCGCAAAAAGTCCGGACACCCCGGCCTCACGTCATTCATAATGAAAAGACCCCAGACTCTGTTCAACATCTTCGCTTCAGCTTAATGTCGTGGCCGTCACCAAGCAGATGCGCAGCAATGGTGGCATTTGTGTTTGTTCAAATACTGGCCGCTCATGGACAGGGAATACTATTGCCTGTGATTCGACGACGACGACGAATAGACACATTGCGGACGGCACCGCCTCGCTGGGGATGCACCACTGCTGAACTTGGAGCCGCAATACTAAACCTTCGAAGTACGGGAAAAGCTTGAGCCTGAGAGGACGCGCTTTTGATATCCGAGTCACGCGCTATGATGTCGGAACTTCCTAATTTGTATTTCAAGGCCCTACCACTGCACTTTGAGGGTTAATAATGGGTGGGGGGAACGTACGCTCTGGCGTTACTAGTTAGAGGGAAAAGTCTATACTACAGTACTACACCACTTACTTCAGTACTCAGCAGTGCAATATATGACATACACCTGTCGCAACTTCGGAGGCCCCCAACCCTCTGTCACAGTGACAGTAACGCCAATATATCCTTATATAGTAATCGCTCGATCATTTCCATCCAGACAAAGAACAAGCACAGGGCGAAAACAACAATTGATTGCAAGCAAATTGCGAGGGAACGATGCAAGTATACGACAATGGAATACAATACAAACACAAACATTACATCAAGCCAAAGTACAAGAGCGTTTAGTAACCTTGTAGCCAGTAGACACGGTCAAAGAACGTTCTCCTTGTCTGACCCAGACAAAACACTTGGCGGGGTGATCCAGCACTCCTTCGGGATGTGCGAGGTGCTCTGTTCGAGGTCTGTCAGCATCATATCATTGCAGATGCATGCAGGCAGCTTGACACCCTCTGATCTCCGTCCAGGAACCACATATTCATCATGTTCTTTCATAATATGCTCCAGCATGTTGTATCGCTTAGGCAACTGCATGGGTTGGGGTAACCCGTGCGGGTTCGGGGTATGGGTACTACTGGGGTACGGGTACGAGTTGGAATTCTGTGACCCACGCACTAACCCGTACCCCTGGCATACCCGTGCCTTCTAAAAATGGTAATTATTTTGTAATCAATGTTTCTAACTTATCCACTGTGCTGTCCTGGCCCCTCCCACATCACGCCGTCGTCAAACGAGCCAGTAATAGGTATGCCTTGGGTTTTTTTTTTAAAAATATATAATCTATTTGACATTTATAATTACAGCTAGATATTTTGGAGCCTGTAACCATCCTTCGTTTTGCGATGAAGGTTGATAGCATTGGGCACAGTCGAGGTGGAGGGATTCTGGGTGTCTTTTGCTAAGCTGCAGAGGTGCGTGTATTCACACCTCATATGTATCTACATGGCTTACAAACATTTCCGTTTGGTTCATAGTCCTCCTTTCGCGCTTGACGCTGATGTTGACACCACTCGTTTTCACTTGTTCTCGCTCATTGTCACTTGTTCTCGCTTGCTCCGACTTGTTCTCGCTTGCTCCGACTTGTTCTCGCTTGCTCCGACTTGTTCTCGCTTGCTCCGACTTGTTCTCGCTTGCTCCGACTTGTTCTCGCTTGCTCCGACTTGTTCTCGCTTGCTCCGACTTGTTCTCGCTTGCTCCGACTTGTTCTCACTTGCTCCGACTTGTTCTCGCTGATTCATTCCGACTCGTTCTCGCTTGCTCTGGCTCACTCTGACTTTTTCCGACTCATTCTGGCTTGCTCTGACTTGTTCCGACTTGTTCTGGCTCATTCCAACTCGTTCTTGGTTGTTCTCGCTTGTTCTGACTCGCTCTGACTCGTTCTGAGTTGTTCTTGTTTGTTCTCGCTCGCTCTGACTCACTCTGACTCGTTCTGACTCGCTCCAGCTCATTCCAACTCGTTCTCGTTCATTCTCGCTGTGCAAGGTATGTTATATATTATCTCACTATGAAATTTTAGATAGTACCCACAGGTAAATTCCCCACGGGTGCGGGTACAGGTCTAGTATCCACATACCCGCCAAAAAACCTGTACCCCTCGAGCGGGTATGGGTTTTTGCCGGGTATGGGTGCGGGTATGACCTCTGCTACCTGGGGGTTTACCCGTGCAGTTGCCTAGTAGCACCAGATAGCTTCAACGGTGAGGACAGGTACCTGTTGTGAAGATCTTCCAGGCTCAGGAGGGAGTACTGGATGGCACAGTGTGCACTTGAGAGGGAGGTTTCAGCAAGGCTTGTTTTTCGATCCATTGTCGATGGCTCCATATTTGAAGGTGTGCTGATATGTGTGTTGTGTCGTCCAGGTAGGTGCGCTGCTTGCAGTAACTGTGATTGTGATGGTGCACTTGGACTGTCCTGAACACCCACAGAATCCACACAGATATGTCTCTCCAACCTATTGAGAATGATCAGCATTGTGAATAAATAGTATTAAAAGTACGTACCTGTTCTTTCATATCAATGACTTCAGGTGTATTGCACAATGCGTGAAGGATGTGTTGACCCATATGACAGCGCATGTCCAGCGCTTTAGCTTTGCACAGCAGACACATCACCACACGCTTTCCCTTCGATGCTGCTAACAGGCTGTTTGCTTCAACTGAAAAAACCGCAACAGTCCCTGAGATATGAGAGTATCATCAGGAACAATACACAACATCAAAGTAAGCAAGATTTACCGTTGGAGAACTGATAAGGGAAAGACTTCATGTCTAATGGTGTAACTGACGCAATAGACTTGAGTGATAGCTTCATTTCAACAGCCTTTGCCCAGATGAGATCACAGGCAGGTTGCAAGGCGTCTTGAGGGATCTGCCAAGTGCTTTGGCCACTGTTGACTTGAGAAAACGCATCGCTATTGATGCCCTCACATAGACGAAGGAAGGTCGGTTCAGGATTTACAGATTCCATGAGAGCGCCAGGAACAGAGACAATGATGACACACGCTGTAGAGTCAGATGTTCCTTGGATAACTGATTGAGCAGTGATGTATCCCCCATCCCACAAGAACATCTGAGCAGCATCAGATGAAGGGTCAGTTGGAATGACACTCAGGAGTTGTCCTGTGATCTTCGCAGTAGAGTGCAAAGATTTCATGATGGTGGCATTGATAGATGCGCGAGATATACCATTAAGGGTTGCTGATGTAGAGTGAAGGACTCCAATGGAAAGGTTATGGCCAGAGCAAAGGATGGTAAGAAAAATATCCCCAACAAGAAATAAGTTCTGGTCTGTGATCCGTCCTGCCGACATGTCGATTCATCTGTTAACCTTCATATAGCCTTCCCGTACATGTTCGAGTCGATTGAGAGACTTTGAAACAAAGTCTTTGTTGATTACAAGCCAACATACAGTCTGCTTGTGGATCCAGCGCCCACCATATAATAGATAGTCATATGGGCATATCCCAGGGCCATGCGGCAATGGCAGTGAAAGTGCGTCTGCAGGAGGGGGTTCACTGGAAGACTGAGAAGGAGCATCAGCAGGAGACTTGTTGATCAGCACCTCTTGAAATGTCAGCATGATCTCGTCTTCTTCTTCATATGTGTCAGGCTCATCTAGCTGAATCATATCACCATCCTCATTTGACAGGATGGTCTCCAAATGTTGTGAGGGTGGTGAGCGCATGACAGGTGGAAGTTCTGGTGGTACGTGGCTTGGGTCTTCGAGTTCCTCTTCTGTCGTGATGCTGAAGTATTTATTCTGTCCGAATGGACGCAACATGTCAACATCAGGGTTGTTGAAATGGTCATTGAAGGAATAATGAACCAGATCCAGTTGTGATGTGATCAGGATGGAAAGTGCAGAATCGCAACCATTGCACCACACCAATGGAAGGTCACATTGGCCAGTAACAATATCACCCTTCCAAATCTCTCAGTTGATATGATCAACTCCCTCCTGGCGTGTGAGTTTGAGACAGCGATGACCTGGGTCAAGCTCTGGATGGCATTTAAAAACACCATCAATGTCCTTAGCAGCACCAAGACAATCGATAGCTTGAGCATAAGAGCATGCAGAGTTGTGCCCCCCAATCATACACGTGCAACCAAAGAGGATCTCAAGTGGGTCACCTCCAACATTGCCAAGGTAGAAGTGAGCACGCGGATCCAGTGACTGTTGTTTAGAAAGAAAGAAGGCGGTGTTCTTCACCATGGTTTGAGTGTCATAATATGGTTGATAGGACTTAAATGAGCGTCAATGAGCATGAAAAAAATGCGAAGGCGAGATGTGCATATTGGCTAAGATATTTGAATTGTTCAGATAATGTGAGAGAGATTTTGATAAATGGGGTGAGGATTGATTTGAGCAGTGCACCAAGAATAGAAATTGATGCGATGTCATGCATGGTATGTGATCCATACCATGACATATACACAACAGCAGTGACAGGGAAGGTAGAAGACACCTGACTGATTCCTATCACCAAGTTACCTTATCATTTTGCATTCATTTCTTAGCTAGCATTTTCACTTTCAAACTTCACTCCTATCTTTTCTATGTATTTCTATTTTGTTCCATGAGATTCTATCTCTTTCTATTTTTCTAGGCACATTTAGCCACCAGACTTTTCCTCAAGCCACCAAACATGTTAGTAATCATGTCATGTGACTGGGAAATACTCTGATTTGTAAGGATTCAACTTGACTCATCATGTTTGGTCATGATTCATCATGCTTTGTAAACTTGCAACTGTATTTGTAATCCACTTTGTCATAAGGCTGATTCAGCACACCTGAGGACTTGGTTTGTAAGCACATTCTTACCAATCCATGTGATGACTCATGCTTTTCATTTTTCATTCTTTGTAATACTACACTTCATTGTGTATGTACATTAGTAAACAAGCTGACTCAACACAAGTTTGTAAACAGATTCTTACCAATCTATGTGATGAATCATGCTTAGTAAGATGGCCTCCCAAAAGGTATATAAGGAGCCCATTTTCACCCATGCAATTTAAGCTTCCCCACTTTAACTCTTTTCTCAAACCATGTGAGAACCAGTAAGATCTAAGTGCAGGCCATTCAGCAGCCTTGAAGTTAAGAATAAGAAACATATATTCATGTTATATACTACCTTACAGGGGTTGACTATATAACAAAGTACAGCTACCTAGCTAAAGTTCATCAGCACTACTTTCCTCTCTCTTTTTCAGGAAGGGAGACACAAATCATGAGACACACTTCATGAATCCATGGGCACACACTTGCCAAAACATGTACAAACTTCACACTCAGTATTTTGAGACCATGAGGTTTAAACTAACCAAGGAACAAGAAGGAGAATATTGAAAGACATTCTTCCCAAGAACTCAGCATGTTATCTACCATGAAAACTAGAAAAGTCGTAGACCGTGTACTTAAGGACTGGCAAGAAGTCTTATCCTGTATAGTTGTGTTGTGTCATATACCATATATCCGGTTACAGATCCGATCCAGATCCGATGAACATATCCGTCGTCCAGTCCACAGATCCGCTTTGATTCTTATTTCATTTCCTGTTCATATAACTCTAACTATCGTTCATCTCCTTTCAGGTATTCCTGTACACCTGTATACCGGTTATCCTTTACTTCCGCTTTGCTTACTGATCCGCTACACTTACGAATCCGCTTTTACTTGTACTTCATTCCCGGTTCATGATTCGTGATCCATCCGACTTACCAATACGCTCCACTTAGACTTTGCTTATACTTTCGTACATAGCCTTGCACCTTTGCTTATTGATCATTCCGTTAGCTATCCGTAGTATATAAACCTTTGTATATGCGCTGTAGTAGATCAGTTCGAATATCATCTTAGATTGCACTCATTCCGTCTGGACTCTAAGTCCCTCCGTTATCCGTCCGGACTTGAGTACGCTACTCTTGTCTACTCCGAGACTTAGGATAGATTCCTATAGTCTACATATCCGCCTCTGTCTTCGGACAGTCCTCACCCGTTAGTTTCTAGTCTGGATCTGATCCGGATTAGCCGTTACTCTATACGTTCGATATCCGGAAGTCTTAACAGATCCGTTGCAATACTTATCCGTTGCGATACAAGACTTATCCGTTACAATACTTATCCGTCTCACTAGACGCGATACTTTAGCTCTCTGAAATAAGGGGCAAGACTCGGGAAAGGGGCACAGCGCACGAGCTGAGGCCGAAGCCCTTTGGATCCGATACTACTTGAGTACGGTCTTAACACAGAGCTTTTCCACCCCTCCCTATGGCTTAGTCATATTTCCCTATCCTGACTCACAAGAAAGCAATTACATGAAAAGCCACAAACATTGAGACACTTTTTTGAGCCACTGTATATACACGTCGTATATAAGACCCTTAAGTAACAAGACAGTGAGGTCAGCACAGGTCTCAATATCAGTAGAGAATGAGTCAGTCTGATAGTTTGAGAGTTTGATGATGGCAAGCATAAGTTTGACAGCACGCGGGACATCCTGAGGGTCGTCTGGGTGAAGAAATTTGGTTACCGCTGCTTCATCATGGGAGGGCAGCCAGACGAGGTAACGTGCAAGCATCATAGAGTTAATGACGCGACCATTGTTAAGGACAATGCCTGCAGGTGACCTGAATAAGTGTGCAGCAGCCTAAATTTATGTTAACACTAATCAATGTTGATCAAGAAAGAAAAATGTACGCTTGAAAATGTGCTTGAAGTCAAAGTCTAGAGTGACTTCATCTTTGCCCGTGTATAGATTAAGTCCCGGCATGTTGCTTAGTGTATAGATTAAGTCCCCGGCATGTTGCTTAGTGTACCATATAAAGGTGACTCTGTGGGTAGCGGTAACTTCACGAACAATTTGTGACCAGCAGCGCACCTGGTTGCATCCCCATCTGTTGCTAACAACCAGATTGGGCCAATGGACATAGATGCACCAGTTCTGTCCCAACGATCAATGGCATGGGTGAGTATGCGCTCCATGTCAGAAGCATCTTCATTCTTGCATGTAGGCGCTGCTAGTATTGGATAAATCTCATCTTCACCAAAGTAAGAGGCACCAATCACGGTGAGTTCCTTCCCAAGGTGAAGTTCCCCGCCGTGAATTTTCTGCGCGATGTCTACGGCAGCCCCGTATGTGCTGAAGGATGGGCTCTACAATGTGTGAATGCTTCCAGAAAAGTCCCCCAACCTTGTTGTATTTACTGAAATGAACTGCCGTCTCCTCAAGTGCAATCTTGTCAATCATGAGACTGGCACCATGCAGCGACTGAAATTCTGAGCATGTGCGAGTGCTGATAATGATATTTTGGATGTTTTGATCAAACTGCTCATTTCATATTGGACTGATGGTTGGCACGATGGATGTGAAGGTGGATTTAGTACAGAGAGTACGGAGAGAAGGGAGACCAAGTGATTGATTAAGTGCAAAAAGGAGCTGGTGCCCGCCAAGCCTAAAAACAAGTGTTGCGATGTCCAAGTCATCGGTACCATAACCTTGAGGGGTATATGCACACTCGAGAGCATCCTCAAGCTTGTTGACAACCTCCTGCATGCTGGAACCATGACATAGAGCAACATCGACAATTTGGTGGATGTGGGGGATATCCTTTTCAGATATGGCCATAAGGAGGCGATTGTAGTCGTCTAATTGGGTGAGCGAGCGCATATACTTGCGAGAATGATTGAGTTCCTATTCATCGGATCCGAGCTCATTCCATCTTGTACTCTACCTTCCCTAGACTATTGGTCTATATCCATGATCCATATCCTAGTCTCATCTTCACCTAGATCTCCGAATCCGCTCATCCGATATCCAGACGCCTCATCCGATATCTCCAGACTTTCAGATCCGACCTATACTCATATCCGAAGCCCAAACCTTAAATCAGCATCTATTTCCTTATGGTAATCCCCTTGACTCCGGATTTCGGTTATCTCTGTTTCCGTCTTGCTTATTGATCCTTGTACTCTGTTCATCTCCGAGTTCATTTACTTATGTTCTATTCATATTTACCAATATGTTTCCACATGCTCATACATAGCATTTGTGTTCAGCTCACTGATCCTCTTGGATCCCTTCTAGTATATAAACCTCTGTACAACTCCTATAAAGTTTCCTTAGTTCAAATATCATATTAGACTTCACTCATTCAACATAGACTTGCTTTCTCTCGCATCTGCTCTTGGACTTCAGTCCATCTTAGTATTGCCTTTCCTTAGGCCTAGGGAAGGATTCCCTAGGCCGACTTTCCAGTCCTCCGGATTTATCCTTCCATCTACATCCATGCTTAGGGATTGACTCTCTAAGCCGGAGTTTTGCCTTTCTGGCACTTCCTGTCTTTCCGAGACTTCTGTCTACTTCCTGTCAACTCCGTCTCTACTTAAGTGTAGTCTACCTCTGTTTGTTTCTACTCCAGACCTTGTCCATAGTAGCCTTTTCCCTCTGGTCCTCCTAACCTTCGGACCTTTGGATATCGTAACCTTTGGACATCTTAATGTCTTAACCTTCGGATGTCTTAACCTTCGGACCTCCGGACATCCTGTCCTTCGGACCGCTCCTCCTATCCTATTCTGCTTTGTACTCTGTCCCTTGCAGTCTATCCTCTATGTGTTTCCATCTAAGGAGCTTACCATGAGAAGTCCTTCAGCACTCCACCAGAGTAGCCAGCCTCCGGAAGTCCTTCAGACTTCATCAGATTCCAACTGGACTTCATTCTGAAATTAAGGGCACATACTCGGGTAAGGGGCACAGCGCACGAGCTGAGGCCAAGCCCTTCGGATCTGTCAACCCTTGAGCTACGGTCTTAACAGATGTCTTGCATGTGCCTGAGGCCAAGATACTTGTAATTAGTGTGGTGCTTGGGATCCCGGGCTATTTCAGAGAGGTGTGCAATGTGTCTGTGCATGTCAGAACACTTGCCACATGGTGAATCCTGAAAACGAGATGGCTGCAATACTTTGAGCGAGCACGAGGAGCGCTTGGTTGTGTGCTATTGATGGTAAAAGGCAAAGCATCTGGGCCATCATGATACCGGCTCCAGGGGAAAAGCATGAGGAATGGACGTAGGTAGTCTGGCCAGACAACAGCAATTCCAGGACAGTTGTCAAGATGAAGGGAGGGAGAAAGATGGCTGAAAAAGGATCCAGTAGTAGTAAGTACAAAATTAAGTAATTAGATAGAGCTGAAATGAAAATACCTGTTATCTGAGGTAATGAGAGACCAGGAAGTGATAAGGGTATTGGAACGTGATGATTGAGCTTGCTCAGTGCGTCGTTTAGCCTGAATGCATCGCTTGCTGCCTTGATGGCTGACCAAGGAACTGAATTGGCCTTCATGCCAGAGCATAAGGCCTGAGGGTATGCTAGTCTGGCACCATTCCTTGCAGCCAGGACAACGGAGGGTCCATCTCGGACTGGTGCCGTCAACCTCGAGGCCGTGTGCCCTGAATACATCATACAGTGCCTCAGCAGTATTAAGTTTTAGTGCTGTATTGATGTCGAAGTCTGCAGGTAAGGCGATTGATGGTATATGTGGGGGCTCTGACTCTTGAGAATCTGCATATCCATTGGAATCCCAGCGATCAGACAGTGTATCAGGTGAAGTATAAGATAGGGAATAGTAACTGTCTGAGTCCTCAGGCTGTAATTGTACTTGGAAATCTAAGGTAGGACTGCGAGAATGTCCAGATAAATGTCCAGATGAATTAGAATTATTAATACTGTGAGATGTGTGATCTGATTCATGTTGTGAAGTTTCGTATGAGTCGTTGCTGATGCTGGGTGCTGAAGTGTTGTAAATCAATGGGAACCGGCCTGCATGTGATGGACGTGCATTAGAATACATATTGAATGGATGTGTTTGTTTGCAAATGAGAGTCGGTGGGCCGACAGGACAGAGGGGTCATAAGATACACGTTATTGCAACGTTATTGATATCAGATGCGACTGAATATGACAGTCACATGTTTTCACACATGACATCCAAAATACTGAATTTAGTGAGCAGTGCCCTTCAACACACATTTTTTATTGATTAAACTATCTAGATGTGTTCTATGCTAGGAAAACCCTCCCCCCCTCTTGGTCTTCAGTGAACGATTCTACTAACTTCTGATGCCACTATTGAGGAACTCAAAACAGTTCGCTGATAACTTCAAGTGGCTGTATATTAAGGTTTAAAAGCTTATCTAATGATGGGCTCTATGCTCGGCATTTCCCTTTTGCACACCTCTTGCAGCAGTGACTTCACAGGTACATTTTTTTTCTTCTTGGCTTTATCCGACAGTGGCTTAGCTGATTGCAGTGTAATCAACTTTCGGCAATGTGCGGGCTGTGAGCATGCTTATATCACTCAATCTCACTCAAATTCGAGCACATTTTTTGCATGCCCTTTCTCTTATGATCCTGCTCTACTCTGGTGATGTCTCTCCAGTACATTTACAGTGGTTTGCATTAAAAACTGCAGTCGTTCGTGCAGAAAAATGTGTTTGGTCGGGCTTGTTCGTCCATTTTGGTATCGTGTCACCTGTCACACGGCACTGCCAGCACGGCGCTTACTTCTACTTAGATGAAACTCATGTGGGGGAACTTGCACATATCGTTAATGCCGTGTTCAACATAGATGGAGACACCGACACCCCTCATATACCACATTGGAGCTATCAGATCCATTGTCGACTCGGATTTCTCGCTACTACTTCAAAGTTGAGGTCAGTCAATATTTCAGCCCTGCATACAATTTGTCTTGCAGTTATGCTCTGTAGCTTGTTGAGGCTAGACATCAACGGCAAACAGGTCAGCTAGTCTTTTTTATATTGCACCATTGCTCACTTGGCATTTGTGACTATGCTCGAAGTAGTCTAGAGGCCAAGTAGTGCAATATGCTACATTCTATGGGCCTTTTTGGCACGGGCTTGGGCACGCACAGGACCTATAAAGTGAGTTCATGGCCAGCATTTCCCTCCAGTCTCAGGCCCTCACATTCCCTTCTGCATGATGTCCACAGGCCAGCTGTCCCAACTTGAAGCTCCTTGTGTTTGCTGCCGATATTTTTTATGAGTGTCCCCAGGTCTCCCCTCGTCGACCTTCTGAGTACTGGTTACAGCGCCCGGGTTGGATTGGTGAGTCGTTATCTTACATGATCACAATGAATCACTGATTTTTTTGTGGCAAAAGATGGTGCTATTGATCCACCTCATTTCTATATCTCGCAGGAGGAAATAGACAATGCTTGCCGTGTATATGGATACCTTGCCCAACCAGTTAGCCAGCCTGCAACCACACCGACACTGACACAGCCCGTCATACAGTCCATGGCTCCAGATACTGTCACTAGTGAGCCGTCTTTCTTGTTGCTGCAGCATGTTACTGATTCATGTGAAGTTCCGGTGATGGGACATCTTGTTTCAATTACAATGGTATACACTGCACTGGACAAGACAGGTTCGAGGTTCAAAGCTTGTTGTCAAGAAGTTCAAGACTGTGAAGTCCGACCATATTGTCCTTGAGGACATTACTTGGACAACATTTATCCAGAAGTTCCTCGCTATCTACGAGTTGGCTGATCAATATAGTCCTGGTGTTCATTCTGGGCCTGGTTTCAAGCTCTCATGGACAGGTTCTCTGTTCGTGTTTCATTCCTTTATTTATTTTGTGCCTGATGCCAAACAACTGAAAGTGGCGGCAAAAGTGGAGCAACTACTATTGAGAACAACCATGATTTCAATGTTGCGATCTTGGTGTTGATGAAGAAGAAAAAGACACCTGTGCAGTCAGTGTCAAGTTCAATACTGATATGATGGATGGTTTTCGCATCCGAAAAAGGGTGCGTGTCTCAAGTCTTCTGCATTTGACATGGATTGTCGCAATGATATTGTCCTCTCAGCCTCACTCACTTACCGAAGCTACTGTTCAAGATCAGGATGAGGAACTTGCCTATGGTACCAAAGTAGGCTATCTGTCCTCTCAAGTAGTGGCATGATCTGATTGTGAATTTTATTCAGGTGCCACGTTTCAACACATTCTCTGAAGATGCACAACTGCATGCACAGTACATCATTCAACTCAAGAAGAAATGGTCATGTGCCAAGCATCAGGGTGAGCATGGCCAAGATGGCCATTGCTATGTCTCATTGACGGGGAGAACATCTTGGATTGAACCACAGGAAGCTCAAAATGTGGGCTGCAGCATGGGTAAATATCCTCTATCCAGTATCTGGCACCTTTTGATGAGTTTTTGAGGCTGCTGGTGATGCTACAAAGCATGAACCACCCAATACAGCTGACTTTGATGGTGCTCGTGATGGCCAACTGACAGATGTGAAGCCTTGTGGTTGTACAGGACCTCGTTCTTCATCGTCTTCAACATCCGATCACACAGCACTTCTGATGGCTGTGATGCTCCCACTCCTTACGAAACATCTCACATCTCCCAATCATGATGCTCCTTCTACGTCCTCACTGGTGCCAACACCAGCCACACCATCCCATGTGAAGAATGTGCCGTCACCAATGTCACCAGTTCAGATAATGGCCTTGAGATTCATGCATGTCTCGGTGACTTTTTTATGAGGAAAGGCATCAATCTCCTAGCTTCCAAGACTGTTCTCATGGATCTTGAGCTCACGCCTGACATTATTCCTGAGGTTCCTGTAGCTCACTTATGTGAGGTTCTGAGTGCCGTCGAGGGACGTATTATTAAATTCCAGGTGTTTTGCAAGGAGTGGAATGCACGTTTGGAAGGAAAAGAGGAGCCAGGTTTGATTGACAGTGCCTTGCCTACACAACCATTCATTTAATAGCTAACAGCCTTTTGCTACATATCACTACAGTATCATACTTATATCGAGCATCAGTACTATATCGAGCACTATCTCTAATATTATGAATAACCACAATTGAGAGCCCAACCTTCTGCATCATCCACTGAGACTGACATTGCAGCTTGATGTATGAGCCATGGCCGGACATCAGCATCAATGACTTCAGCTTCATGATGATGGAGCCAAGCTTTGATGGAATGAAAGGCTTGTTTAATGGGGTTGTAATCGGGAGAATATGGAGGTAATAAACCAGTCAGGCTCCTACATTAACAGGTCAAAAGTCAGAGTCTCAGATGTCACAGTGTGAAGTGCACATACCACACTCGTCTTCAATTGATTTGTCGCACACCTTCATCATGATGTATTGCACAATTGTCCAGAACCACAACACTTTGTGGTCCCTGGCCATGGTGTGAGTATTGGTGCCTATGATGATATAAAATATCTGACTCGCTTCAGAAGCACACTTATGAAGCATATCAACTCACAATTTGATCACGGAGAAAGTTAATGAAGAGTTCTTTATTGACAGAGCCTTCAAATATATCCAGGGCAACAATTCCATCAACACTGAGTGCTGGCAATACTGAGAACCGCTGTGAAGACTCACGTTTCTGTGGGCTCATATGAGCTCATTTTTATGAATTCTGACAACTGGCCTTCATGGTACAACTTGCACCATCATCCACTGTGACTTCCACCATGGAGCGCACCACTTCCTGCGAAATGCGCCATAGGCGCAACACTTTCCTGCACAACGCGCAGTATTCCCGCATGCGCGCCTTGCACGCTTTCTCGCGCTTAAGCGCCCTGTGTCGCGCATCATCCAGGAGCATCCATCCATCGTCAACCAGTCCCTTGGTATGTCCCTTTTCGTTATCTGACTATATTTGGCATATACACTTCCTATTTCGTCATGGACCCTACTTTACATCACTTTACCTCACTTACATACTTAGAGCGCTCCCTATTCGGCTCCAAGCCCTGGGAGAGCGCTTAGGTAGAACTTACATACACTCATGTTTGTTTTACACCTGTTAAGACCGTACTCAAGTAGTATCGGATCTGAAGGGCTTCGGCCTCAGCTTGTGCGCTGTGCCCCTTTCCCGAGTCTTGCCCCTTATGTCAGAGTGTTAGAGTATCGCGTCTATTGAGACGGATAAGTCTCATAACGGATCCGTTAGGGCTTCCGGATATCGAACATATATAGTAACGGCTAATCTGGAATGGATCTGAACTAGAAACTAACAGGTGAGGACTGTCCGAAGACAGAGACGGATATATAGACTATAGGAATCAATCCTAAGTCTCGGAATAGACAAGAGTATCGTACTCGAGTCCGGACGGATAACGGAGGGACTTAGAGTCCAGACAGAATGAGTGCAATCTAAGATGATATTCGAACTGATCTACTACAGCGCATGTACAAGGGTTTATATACTATGGATAACTAATGGAATGATCAATAAGCAAAGGCGCAAGGCTATGTACGAAGTATAAGCAAAGTATGTGTACAGCATATCGGTAAGTCGGATGGATAACAAATCATAAACCGGGGGAATGAAGTATAAGCTAAAGCGGATCAGTATATCGGTGTACAGGAATGCCAAAAGGAGATGAACGATAGTTAGAGTTATATGAACAGGACATGAAATAAGAATCAGATTGGATCTGTGGACCGGACGACGGATATGTCCATTGGATCTGGATCGGATCTGAGATCTGGATCTTTGGATCTGTACCCGGGAATATGGGATATGACAGTATCCCCCCCTTAGGACCGATCCCTAGAGGCACAAGAATCAGCAATCCAGAATGGATGGTATGAGCACGAGACAATAGAGAAGTTGATGGGAGAAGTTGCTGAGTTCGGATTTTCGACAGATATATGGATGCCAAAGTGTCGCAGGTGTTCCTTCCTTTCCCCACTTTTTCACTACCACTAGCTTAACTCAAACATGGCTGATAACGGATCCGGCTCTAAGAAGACCGCTAGGCAGACTCTAGCGGATGTACAGGTTGCGCTGGCTGCTGCTGAGGCCGAGGTTTGGAAGGAGGAAGAGGCTGAAAAGCGGAAGCAACAAGAGGAGGAGGTGGAACGGAAATGCTTGGATGAGATTAGGAAGATTGAACAGGCTGAGATCCGAAGGGAAGCGGAGGAGACTAGGCACAGGGCTATTGTAGCGGAAATGGTGAGTTATGATTTGTACCATTGGATCCGTGGCTTATCAGATCCATCCCTTATCGGATTTTGTAGACTTGCGGTATTTCAGCAGATAAGGATGGGTCTTGTACCCGTTGCGCTAAGAAGAATCGGATCTGTCTATGGTCTGATGCTGATAGCAATTCCTTGGTGAGTTGTCCTTGATTTTTGCAGATCCGTGACTCTTGATGTTCAGATAGATCAAGGCTTGTAATCTGTGCCGGAAGGATAAGGTTACCTTCCCTGGAAGGCCTGGACTTGTCAAGGATTCCAAGTCTAAGAAGAGGCAGCGCGCTGCTGAGAACCCATCTCCGAGAGGCAAGGGTAAGAAGCGCCAGCAGAGTCCGACTCCAGATCTGGATATGAAGATGACAGTAGCGGATGAGGTGGAAGTGGAGTATGATGATCAGGCCTGGGTTGCTGCTGCTAACAACATTGTAGTGGAGCTGGTCCGGACCAACGGATTACTCCAGCAGAGCATTGGAGCGGTGGAAGGGAGTAGGACTGCTATGGAGAGGATGAATACTAACTTGGAGGCGTTTTTGGAGCAGCAGAGAGAGTTCCAGAACATCCTTCTTGAGGGGATCCGGAATGGAATTCGGATCACTGAGGCAGCCCAATCTGAGGCCACTGAGAAGGACACTGATGAATCCGGATCCGCTGGGGACATGGAGATGGATGGCTAAGGATTTCCAGATCCGCTTTCTCTGCTACTAATGTACTTGTATATCCACTTTGTATATTCATTATATAGCAATAGGACCGGGTTTGTCTGGATATGCAGTGTGGAAAGCCAAGACTAGATTGGACACGTTTCCGAGTTCCGTGGCTAGTAACCATGAAGTCTCTTTGTCTGTTCCTTCGTATCCGGACCATCGGATGAGGTATAATAGTTGGCATTGACGTCTACGACGGTCTAGCTTCAAGTCTAGGATTTCGGATATCTCATATTCTGGTTCTCTGTCGACTTCGACCGGAGGTGGAGGGGGCTGGATACGATTAGGAATTGTGTTCGAAATGGAGGGTTCTAACTGAGAGATGTGGAAAATGGGATGGACAGATTTCATGGATTCGGGAAGTCAGATGGTGAAGGAATGTGTACCCGGATGAGATATGACTTCAAACAGACCTAGGTTCTTTTCCGAGAGTGTCTTAGATGGGCGAGTGGAACAGAAGTATTTAGCCTTGACAAAGACTTGATCTCTGATATTGATATCCGGAGTGGGTTTCCTGTCTAGCATCTGCAGGTCCTTGATATCTTTCTTGGGGCGTGAGCCATTTCTTCTTGGAGGAATTGATGAAGGGTCGTCAAGGTCTATAGCATAGTCGTGAGCATCGGATGGAGGATAGATCACATTCCGGATGGACGGATATGTTCGGATGATAACCCTTATTAGCAAAGAAAGGCGATACTCCGGTAGTAGCACTTGGAGCATTATTGTAGGCAAACTCTGCTAAGGGAAGTAGTTTCCGACCAGTTGTCCTGTTTGATAATTGCAGTATATCCGAAGGTATTGTTCTAGGGTTTGGTTGGCACGCTCGGTTTGTCCGTCCCCTTCCGGATGATATCCGGATGTGAAGTGGAGGACCATATCCAATGCTTTTCCTAAGGACCCAGAAGAAGTGGGATACGAATTCTGTACCACGGTCCGAGGTAACATGGGACGGAAACTTCCGTGCTTGGAAAACACATGAAGTAGGAACAGGCGAGCGAGGTCAGGAGAGGGTAATGGTATCATGAGTCGGAACAAATATCGCTTGCCTTGGATAGTCGATCTATGATAACGAGGATGGCTGTAAAGCTGGATGAGTCGGAAGCTGCTCTATAAATCCATAGAGATGGAATTCCATGGCTTTTTCCGGTATGGGGAGTTGTTTGAGCAATCCATAGTGTTTTATGTCTCGGAACCCTTGGCTTGGGCACAGGTAGTGCAGGATCGGACATAGTCCCTTAACATAGGTGCGTATACCCGGCCATGTATACTCGTGTCGGATGAGGTCTAAGGTTCGGTTTTTGACCAAAGTGCCCGGATAAGGGGTGATCATGAGTATTACGGAGGACGCGAAGTCGGAGGTTATCGGATTCTGGAACATATATACAGTTGTCATCAACGAGGAAACCACTATCGTCCACTGTCCATCTCGGATCCGAAGGTAACGGAAGATGGTTGGTTGCAATAGGGTCATTAGGAAGTGCAGTCAGGATGTCCTTTCCGAAGGTCATCAATATCCAGTTAGAACAGCTGCTCTAAGAACCGGAGTTGCTAAGGTTGAGGCTCGTAGGGACGAAGCTAACTGTTCGGACGTGAATACCGGACGGAAGTTATGAGGGTTAACTCGAGCGTAGTCCTTATCCCCCTCTTTGGGATAGACGTCCCAGCGTCTAGTAAGGGAATCCGGTTTAACTCCGAGTTTTCCGGGACGGAAGCGGATGACAAGATTGAACTGATGGAGGAATTCCGACCAGCGGGCCTGACGGCGAGAGAGGAGTTTGGTAGTGGCGAAGTACTCAAGGTTTTTGTGGTCCGTGACAACATCTACAGGCTCGGCCGAGCCTTCTAGATAATGTTGCCAGGTCCGAAAGCTTCGTATATAGCTAGAAGTTCCTTGTCGTGGGTGTCATAGTTGGTTCCGGAGCGGTTAGCGTACGAGAGTAAATGCTACCGGACGAAGCTCTGAGTCTGGACATACAATGGAAAGTATTCCAGCTAGCATAGTCAGAGGCATCGGTTTCCACTACTATAGGAACATCCGGCATCCAATGCATAAGCACTGGAGTGGTAGTGAAAGCTTTCTTGAGTTCTTCGAAGGATTTCCGACAATCTTCGGAAAAGTTCCACGGGGCATCCTTGCATGTAAGCCATGCTAACGGAACCACAATATTCAAGTAGTTGAATATAAACCGTCTATAGAAATTTGCGAATCCGAGGAAGGACTGGATATCCTTGACTTTCCGGGGTTCCGGCCAGTCAGTAATAGCTTGGATCTTCTCGGACGACATAGTCAAGCCATCCGGAGATAGGAGGTATCCGAGGTATTCAA